GGGCAGAGGATGCCGTCGTTGTGTCCTCTTTACGGTCGTGGTCATTCGCGCAAGCTTATTTAACTCGTGGAATCCGCTACCAACGTTTTCTGATATACTTGAATTCGGTTCCTTTGACGAGTGACTATTCACTAAAATCTTGTAAGACATCCCAAAAGTTATAAACATTAGGTTACATCCATTGTCTACATTTCTAGATGTTCAGTTTGGCTGTTCTTGCTGTAGACGGCTTGCTCGACGCAAATACATTTTCAGGCGGAAATAAATGCTCGCGGCACTTAAGAGTAATGCACATGACTGTACCTGTTATGGGAATGCTTTAAAAAATCTTTAAGACATTTTGAATGGCAAACCATTCCTAAAACAGCCATTGATTCCGTTCAGTCAGATAACGAAGCACGCGAGGATTCCTTGTCTTTCGCCACAGTTTGGAGACGCCGTCCATTCCTTTTGAGGCACGCATCACTCGCCCGTCCACAAACCAGCCCCTGTGAAGATATTGCCAACGTGCCTTTAAAGCAGCCGCCCCTGCGAGACAGCCGTCCGTGTAGAGCGGCCGTGCCTGCGAGACGCCGCTGTGAGACTGACGTCCCTGTGAGACGTCCCTGTGAGACAGCCGTCTCCGTGAGACAGCGGTCCCTCTGGAACAACTGTCCCTGTGATACGCTACTAGGAGGTAGACTTCCCTGTATAACAGTCACCCCTGTGGGACGATCATCCATGCCCGAGAGGCTCTGCTTACACACGCTGTCAGTTGTTTGAGTGAGGCAGTTCCACCGCTTGCGAAATAGCCGAGCCGTCCCCGTCTCTGCCAGACGGGGACGGCTGTGGCTGCGAGGCTGCCGTCTGTGGCGCCGCACACCTCCCCAGCCACCGCTGACTAATTGCGCCTCGATCGGCGGCAGGCGGCGCCGATGCCGGCCTGGCGGCTGATAGGCGGCTGGTGGCCACGTCCGCCGCCCCGGGCGGCCCGTAGGCCGTCGAGAGGCGGGGGCGCCCGCGCCGAGCCGGCCCGGCCCGGCCGGCCAGGTAGCCAGCTGATCCACGGTGGCGGCGCGCCAGCTGCAGGTGGAACGAGGCATGGTGTAGCGACGGGGGGGGGGGGGTTCCTGTCATGCCTGGGCATGGGCTCTTGCGGTCCGCAGACGCGAACTCTGATCTGTGTATCCGGGCGACTGGTCGTTTCAATGTTCCGGTCGGTGGGCTAGGTGCACTTGATTCGTCCCAGCGGCACGTGAAAGAGACGCTTGGGTAGACTGAGTGGCTCGTGCGGCGCCGAATCCTGGCGCGTGGCCGGCCTGGACTCGCAGGGCACGCAGCACCCACTGTTCCGTCCATAAGTCGGGTCTGTAACCCCCCACCCGCCCCCTCCCCCCACCCCCCAATACGAGACTCATTAGAACCAGGGCAGAGGCAGTATCACACTGCTTCGTGACTGGGCCGTCACAGTCGGGGTCCCGGAGCGTGACGAGCGTGCGCTGCGGCTGCACACGGCGATATCGCCTGCCAGAAATGCTGGGTGACCGCAAGGCACAGGTAACCGTCAACTGGATCTTGTCAGAGCTCTGCCCAGCTGCACTGGATCTTGTCAGAGCTCTGCCCAGCTGCACTGGATCTTGTCAGAAGCGCATCTTGGTGTGCGTTTTGTCAGTCATCCGGCCGGACATGGCACTATATGGGCATGTTTTTTTTTTGTTTTTTTTTTGTTCTTTTAAGATCAATCAAACATTTTGAATGGATGCATCTCTGGAATCGGAACTCGCGCTAAGTAGTGCTTGTTGTGTGGGCCCTGACCCCTATCATTCGAAAGCGCATCAATGCTCGGTACGGTCCACCCTGCCATCTGACGTCACCTGGCCTTGCACTCACATTTATATTTGCACACGTCGTGAAGTAACTCCACAAAGGAGCCTAGTGTCAAGTCAATATGTGGAGCGGTGAATCAAGTGGATAGAACACACAAATAACGCAAAACATACATGTGGTCATACATGGTAACATAAGCCGAGTAGTCATTAATCAGTACCTGGCTGTCCTCGCATTGTGTGGTCTCTGATCTCGACCTTGAAGCGCGCCGGGTTCACTGCACGAACAGTTGCCGGTAGGTCAGTTAACGCAGTACTGATCGAGTAACCTAATCTCCGTATTCCAGACTCGGAGCGTATCGCCGGGGACGCGAGGTGACGCACACGCATTCTTCATCCGCCGCCGGATCTCGCGCGTGAGGGAACCTCAGTCGCCGGGTGGTGGTCGCAGACGTGAGACCGTCATCAGCTGCCGGCTCTCAATTATGGGTGCGTCACCTGGGAACCATCATCAGCCGCCTTTCAGTAAGCTGCACTCCTGTTAGCTCCTGTGGTAGTACTCGGTCAAAATGTTGGTGACTTACGGCGGATTAACATTGTTCAGCGCCGGGAACGATCTGGCTGATTTTTTTCAACAGTTTTTGATTAACCTGGTGGCTGTGGAGATAACCCGGCCCGCCGAGCTTGCAGAAGGCTTTATGAGCTCCGAGTTCCGTGGCAGCTGGATCACCTCACAAGCAGTCAAGTCCGTGCGTCACTGGACTTCAATGACATGCTCATCTGCTCAAGCAACATAGCTTCGTCTGCCTACTACCCTGGCTGGCAGGGCGGGCACCGCGGGTGATCAAACCCCGTGCCTATAGTTTCCCAGATGCGCAGCTTGGACCACTCCACTACCGGCACACTAGCTCGCAGCCAAGTCACGTCGCTACTGGAGCGTGCTGTGAGCCGTCGCGTCCGCACTGACTGTACCACGAGCCTCCCGATCCCGTGATCACTGGATCACCTCACCAGCCGTCCGATCCCGTGATCAATGGATCGCCTCACCAGCCTCTCGATCCCGTGATCACCGGATCGCCTCACCAGCCGCTTGATCCCGTGATCACTGGATCGCCTCACCAGCCGCCCGATCCTGTGATCGCTGGATCGCCTCACCAGCCGCTCGATCCTGTGATCACTGGAATCGCCTTACCAGCCTGTGATCCCGTGATCACTGGATCGCCTCGCCAGCCGCCCGATCCCGTGATCACTAGATCGCACTCACCAGCCGCCCGATCCTGTTGATCACTGGATCGCATCACGAGCCGCCCGATCCTGTGATCACTGGATCGTATCACGAGCTGCCGTCCGTGCCGGTCGGCGGTCGCCGCCGTGGGAGCCGGGCGGGGCCGCCCTCCCAGCGCGGCGACGCAGTCGACCGCCAGCCGACCTCTAAACGACGACCGGTCGGCTGCCCGCCGGCCATCGCACCGCGGCCGGCGGCGTCGGGGGCCGGCGGGTGACATCACGCAACTGGGCGACGTCCGATGGCGATGTGGAGATGACTGATGACTGTGGTGAGGACAAATGATGGCGTTACTGACCACATCTCGGAGCACGAGGCGCTTCTGGATGCGCAATCGGCACTCGAAGCTCACCGCTTGGCGTTGCGTTACAGTTCATACAGGTGAGAATAACGGCGCTGCAATGCGGGAGAGGCTGGCGTCGTGTTACAGTTTCAGCACGTGTGTTGTAATTCTTACGTCACTGTAATAATAACCAGGCTTGCGACGTCTGTACTCTCGGGTGATTGCACAGCCCGCCTGATGAGTCACTGAGTCAGATGAGTGATCGGACTCTTCGGCTGGCGTAACCAGTCTGGCTGCGATGCGCACACGGTCGCCGCCCACGGATTGTTAAGCCCGCGGGCCGACGGAGGGAGCGTTACCGCAAGCTACATCTGTGCCAGCCTAGATGCGACTCAATCGATGTAGTCTAGCCTTTTGAGCACCCCCTCTGCCATAAGGAGGTTGGTGTGTCAGTCTGTCCACAGGCAACGGGGCGCGGCTGCCATCGGTGGGTCAGTCGACGGCGGCGGTGAGGGTCGGGGCGCGCGAGGGTCGCGCCGGGCCGGTCGTTGGGGCGCCGGCGGATGACCGCAGAGTGCAGCAGGCCCGGCTCGGCCGTGCAGCGCTGACACACTGACCTGGGGCCGTTGGCCAGAGGAGTTTCGGACACGGCGGCCGCCGCCCGGCGGGGCCGGCCGGGTCGGGACGGTCGCTTGCAGGCCGCAGACGACGACCTCTCACGCAACGACCTGACGCTCGTCGCGGCCTGTTGTCAGGGTGCGAGAGGTACTGGGGTTTCAGGGCGCCTCAACCGCATTGGTTATTTGCGCTTTTGTCAGGGTGCGGTGCTCTTCAGATGTAAGAAAAATGCCACTTTTATCGTAAGCAGGCATCATGCATTCAAGTTAAAGCCAATGCATTAATTAGCATGACCTTCATGGGGAATCACGTTTCACAGAAACCATATTGGCGGAATTTTTTTGCCCTATTCCTTGGCAAACAATGCACCAATTGTCTTCATAAAACGGCAGTCAGTGCTTCAGCGATTTGATCACAGCTTGTTCCGGGTACATTTCGTGTCTACGGGCTTTAACACGGAAAGGACGCTCAAGTGATGATACATCCGTCCAAAACTGTTTACTTGAAGTGTTTGCTGGCTTCTTGCCCAGGGAATTGGTGTCATTCGGATGAGTATAAGGGCCCTTTTGCCTCATTATGTGACTTGTATGTGCGTTGATAGGTTGTATCTTCGGCATTAAGAGCCATAAAACGGACGTGAACCTTCATAAACAGCGCTGAAATTGGTACGTCTCTATCACCGTTATGACAAAAAGACGTCCAAAACTAGCACCACACAAGGTGACAGCGTTCACGGCATCTTTTTCAGCAGTTGCTCTGTCAATCGTGCTGTTGTCAACACACGTCGTGAATGTACACGCCGGCTCTATCCTTCTGCCAGAATCCCGGGCTCAATGGATGCAACACAAGCATACATATCACACACTCTTTATCGGCTTAAACATGATCAGAATATGCATCACTTGACCGTGTGTGATATACAGCCAGTCCATAAATTAAACATCGGCAAACACAACCCTGTAAAAAGCCGTGCAGTATAAGTGATGCATGCAGCTCGCCTCACACTGGCAACACAGCCACTCAACAACGTCATCACACATTTCTTAGTTGCCACTGAAACGTGCAATCACTCCAGCTCGCTGTACATTGACACTGCTGGCCATAATCATATGCTGTCGGTGTAAAGGCAACGGTTCCTCTGACGCCGCGCGGCACGCGAGCGGCTCGAGCTAGCGCATTCACTTCTTGCTGGTGACAAAAGGCTCCGGTGAGGCCCAAGTATAACACAGCACGCACGTGGTGCTTGCAGTCAGGTGTTGCATCTCTTTCCACGACAAAAAAAATTAGTGAAACGGCGTTATACTCCCCGTTCAGCGGCTCAGAAAAGCCCTGCATAGACACAGTGAATTCACACACTGCAGAATGATTGTAGCGATGTGTTGAAGGAAGGAGATAATAAAGTAAATGGGGAGGATAGAGACGGGACATAGAAAGCGATATCGAGCACTGAGCAGACGGACAATGGGCGCGACGGACCCCACACGCGCGCGCTTCGGCATTATTCTTCCGTCGAGGCGAGGCACAGCCAGCGCCTCGAGGCAGAACCTCCAGCCGCCGCCCGACTCCGATGCTAAGAGCCCAGAAGCCAGCTCTCCTGGGCCCTCATCGCATGGGGCCTTGTACCGGCGCCCCTGGACCCGGCTCTCGAGGGGCCTCGTTTGCGGCGCCGCTGGTCCTGCCTCTCGTGGGGACCTCGCGCCGGCGCCTCTGGTCCTCCTCTCGCGGGGGCCCTCGTTGCGGCGCCGCTGCGCCAGGGTCGGCCTTATCGTGAGCGGAGCTGGTCGGCGAGGAGCTGGTGTTCCTCGAGAGGCGAGCGCCAGCTGTCGGTGTAGTCGAGCCCTCATCGGCGCGCGCCGCACGGCCGTCACCCGCCGGACAGCGGCACGTGACAGTTGCCGGCCAGCACGAGCGCCGCCGACGAGCTGCCGAGGGACGGCGCGGTGTTAGGCCGTGACGTCACGCATTGTCAAGATGGCGCTCACTGCTGCCGGTGAAGGGTGGAAGTGGAGCTTTGCTGAGGACGTACACGGCTCACGTCTATTCTTTGTCAAGCATAGTATTACAAAAAAGACAATCTATCACAGGTTATACTAATGGTTAAACTCCACTGCAGTTCTAGCGGCAAGGCGTATGTCAAATGAAGCTCTGGTGTACATCAACAGCACGACAATGTACGTTGCGTGGTCGCCCTCGCAATGATCAGTACCTGTGAGCCTTCTGTCTGATCGGATGCTCACGAGGAACGCAGTCCAGAAGCAGCTCCTGGCTGGAAAAGTGTGGGGGGCGACCGGCCGTCTGCTGTTCAGCCTGTTTGCTTTTAGACAGACGTGGCAGCAAAGTTCTGGGGGACGGGGACACCATCCGTTAGAAGAAGTCACACCAAGCAGGTGGGTTTCACAACATAGGAATTAGGGTTGAAGGCTAAACCCACCACATTTATGTAGGCCGGTTAAATGCCCTTTGACCACTTAGACTTTTGATGTGGTCTCCAGCACACTGCACTTAAGCGGACAGTCGAAGTATCTGGAGCTATAAAGTACACACCGTACGTTGAGATATGTAGGTCCCTGCTGTTCCCGGCTCCGCACCGTCAGCGGGAGCTGTCAGATCCTTACTGTGCCCGGGTCGGTGACGCAGCCGGAGCTGTCAGATCCTTACTGTGCCCGGGTCGGTGACGCAGCCGGAGCTGTCAGATCCTTACTGTGCCCGGGTCGGTGACGCAGCCGGAGCTGTCAGATCCTTACTGTGCCCGGGTCGGTGACGCAGCCGGAGCTCGGGCGCGCCTCGTCTGCAGACTGCCCGTGGCTGGAGAGTGTCTCGGCTCCGAGGTGGGCAGCACGGAGACGGCTGGTGACGGAGAGCGCAGGATGACGGTCGGCTGCAGGCAGTTGTCACAGAGCTTGCGGGCCTTGCCCAGGCCCTGGCAGCAGCACGGGTCGCGCAGCAGCCGGTTCGCCCGGTACAGCGAGAGGTACTGCGACTTGGGCACCATCACGTACTCGATGGCGCGGTGGTCCCAGGGGTCCAGCTGTCCGCCGTCGGGCCGGGAGCGGCAGGCGCAGGGCGCCGGCAGCCGCCCGCCGCCGCCGTCCGCGCCCGCCGCCGCGCCCGACTCCTCCGACTCCGGGTCAGACCCTGATGAAGGACGGCGGACTGTCAGCACACTGGTCCCGCAATCAGCGGACTGTCAGTGCACTGGTTCCGCAATCAGCGGACTGTCAGTGCACTGGTCCCGCAATCAGCGGACTGTCAGTGCACTGGTTCCGCAATCAGCGGACTGTCAGTGCACTGGTCCCGCAATCAGCGGACTGTCAGTGTACTGGTCCCGCAATCAGTGGACTGTCAGTGCACTGGTCCCGCAATCAGCGGACTGTCAGTGCACTGGTCCCACACTCAGCGGACTGTCAGTGCACTGGTTCCGCAATCAGTGGACTGCCGGCACTTCGGTGCAAGATACAGACGCACTGTCAGAGCACCAGCGCTGGGTTTTAACAAACCAAAAGCACACTAGCTCCAGACTCCAACAGGCTGTCAACACACTAGCTCCAGACCCCAGCAGGCTGTCAACACACTAGTTCCAGACCCCAGCAGGCTGTCAACACACTAGCTCCAGACCCCAGAAGGCTGTCAACACACTAGCTACAGACCCCAGAAGGCTGTTAACACACTAGCTTCAGACTCTACCAGGTTGTCAGCAAACTATCTTCAGACTCCAGCAACGGTCCTGATACCCCGCGCCGGGCTCATCAGGCTCCAGATGAGAAAGGCAGCAACACATCTGACAAGATTAGACTGCTCACCACACGCTGGAGGCTCGGGCGCAAAGTCAAATATTGTGTTGTGTTTCTTTCGTTGATGAGCCTCTGTACAAAATTTATGGTTTGCAGATTGATGACCCTATATCATGAAGGCATGTTGCGATCGTGCGGTTTTGTGCTCGCATAACATATGCACTAGGCATGGTATTTCGGCTTTGTCAAAGGTAAACATTTTACTTGCTTCATGCCGTCTTCCTCTCTCTCTTCTTCCTAATAAATTTCTCTCACGGACGAAAAAAACGAAAACGCATATTTCTTAGCTCAAGAAAAGAGCCCGTTAGGCTAGACAGGTACAATAGGAGCGGCGGGGCAAGGCTACACGCAAAAAGCTGTGCTTAGCAGGAATGCTCTTTGAGACGAAGCTCTACTTACTCTGATCCCAGACTCATCATCATCATCATCATCATCATCATCAACGCAAGACATACGGACTAAATTTTGTAAAAGAACGATGACTACGTGCAAACATTTGCGCCTGCAACATCTCAGGTCGAGCTCAAAGAGCGAACTCGGCAACACCAAGGACACCAAGTTTGGTGATGGTGTGTAGTGAGGCGTTCAGTCGGGCGGCTTTTATGTGCCGAAAAGAAGTATCCGGCCGCCTTGTCTCCGCGCCAGGCTTTCTTTCCCAGGCATCACGAACGCTTCGTGGTACTTTCCCAGACATCACGAATGCTTGGTGGTGCGTGATCTTTTCTGCCTAGTGACAACGAAAAATTGAGACACTCGCCAACATTCCTAAAACGCACTTAAATGTAAGGAGCAGTCTAAAAACCGGTGATAGACATACTCCCGCTTGTTTTAAGGGCAGGCGTCATTTTCGTCCCTAGTTTTGAGCCGAGGTAGTTAGGTTCTGGCATACGAAGATATTTTGCTAGCCATAACCTCAATGAGGTAAAAAAACCAAGCTGCTGGACCTAATTACATTTTGACTGCCTGAGACCTCGTCTTACACGGTCATGTGACCAAGAATGGCAACACCGACAGCCGATAGCGCTGCCGCAAAGTAATTGGTTACGACGTGACGCGTAATTTAACACAGCTGGGCCAAACATTTTTTTTTAGATAACATTTTAATGGCATTGGTCGAAGGGCGAAACAAAATAATACTTAGTGGATTCTGTTTAAGCGGGCTATCTCGTCGTGGTTCCAAACAGGCATGCCATTTTCTGAAAGTTGAAAGATGAAATGGCTCAAGATGACTTTGCGTTCCAGTAGGAGGATAGATTTATCAAAAGATGACATCTTTGCTTTACTTGTTAATGCAGGAGAGAGACTGGTCGCGTTGTCACAGGCTGATGTAGCACATAGGACCGTAATATGTTGTGCATATTAACTTAAACTGCGCAAAATCTTTAAACGTAAACATAAAATGGAGCATGGTCTCAATTTTGGCAGCTATGTCAGAGGAACACCACACAGAACGGCGAATTCAAGGCTCTGCAATGATGTATGATGATGATAAGATGTTGATAAACAAATAAGATGATGCATATGTCATATATGTCAGATATGTCGCTGTCGCATGTCGCTGTTCATCCAGAGCAGGTCCAGCTCAAGTGACACTTGGTATCACGACACGGTAAGGACCTATCGCATTTAAATCGGCGTAAAAATCAGGAGTCATAATCACAGTATATGTCTCAAAATGAATGATATATCTGTGCTCTGTATCAAATCACATTATTTTTGTCACGGCATTATGTTTGTCTACAATTTGAGATGAATGCGTATACTTATTTTGGTGTTAAAGCTGTTCACCAAGGACAATGCGTTCTTTCAAGGGCCGACAATATGTTGCTGCCTGCAGACAAAAGTTAGGAGTTACCAGATGGTCAGTGGCTTTGGAGAAATTTGAAATGAAAGTCCAGCAATGTTCACAGGCAAAGCTGGTGTTTCATGAAGTTCAGGCATTTCGCTGCCAGTGAACTCACGACCGTCTTGTTCGCATCCCCTCCAGTTCCGTCCCGTTTTCCCGGCAACAATGTGCCACTCAATCGCAAATAACTCATTTCCTCCGATTGGTCGCCGGAACTGGCCAATTAGCGGGCATTCTGTGCATCCTCGGCTAATCACACTGCGGCACCGTAGCGGAACAGCAGTCGGCGGCTTCCTTGTTGCAATCGGGCCGCGGGCGACGGGCTCGATGGCAGCGCGGCGGGGGTCGTTCACCCTTCTGAGTCGACGGCGCCGTCGCCGCGCCGGCTGGGCCCGCCCCAGGGCGTCACTCCCCCGCAGCGATGGAGCGGTTGCCAGCAGCAGAGTCGGGCCACGCGACCGCCGCGGGCTCGGCACACCACACCGCGGGCCGAGATTAACCCCAGCCTGCGCCGCGGCCTCGGGCGGGGCAGCGCTGGCGCTCGCTCTGAACTCGGCGGTGCGCGCCGCTCGGCCGGACCTAGCGACCCGACCTCGGGCCTCGACCGACCGCAGACCGACGCGGCGGCGCAGACGGCGGGCCGCGGCCAGTCCGGACCGGCGCGGACCGGGACCGCTGCCGGCCAGGCCGCCGGGGACTGGAGCAGCACCGCGACCGACCGTGACGCCCGTCTACCGTCACGTGCGGCCCGCTCGGCGCTACGTGACGCGCTGGACGAGCGTCACAAGGCGGCCGCGAACAATGCGAGCGCGGCCCTTTGTTGTCCGGCGAGATAACTGGGAAGTGGTGGGACCGGTCGTTGGGGACCCGCGCTGCTGTTAGGTGACCTAAAACAGCGTCGGAGCGCGGCAACGTTGACCGTAAGCCCGGTGACAGGGCGGTGATTAAGACGATGTGATGCGGCTGTGATCTTGTATCTACGTCATTGTGCCTAGCAGCTCGACATCCTTGCAGTTGTGCCGTTAGCTATTCTCTCGCTCGCTGTAACGTGTTCGCTCAACAGTACCTATTCAAAGACTGAAGCAAAAACTGGGTCAATACACTTGTTTTGCTGGACCGCACACCCTGGTCTGTAGCCTGTTATTTTTATTAGGCATTCTGTGTATAGCTTTACTTGATTTTTTACAGACCAGTGTGATGCAGCGGTTTAGCACTAAATAAGGTTTTGACGAATGAGTCATAGCATCAAAGGCATTCATACTTGACAAACCTCTTGCGTCTTCATCCTCCTAGTAACCCGATACACTGCTGCAAGGCATGAATGTTTGACGACTTAATACCAAACGACGCGTCACTGAATGCAAATGAAAAGTGATTCCTTGTCTGCACAACCTGTGCTGTTACATGAGGATACACCGCTCACGTAGTTAAAGTTAGTTCGTAAATCGCGCAGGTCATAGGGACGCCGTGCTCCTCCTTGGCTCTGTCCGCTATCCAACGGACGGCGTTTCTTGCAGCAGCGGTGATAACGTCTCAGTGCCGACGCTCTGATCGACTGCCGCTGCGGGCTGGAGGCCCCCGCGAGCAGCGGCCGCGCACATTGGCCACGGTCGGCTGGCCTCGTCAGATGTGACGCATGCGCAGTCACCTGTGCAACACTCCGGAGAGCCTGACCTGATCGCACCGATGGGAGAGCGTCAGGCATCGTTCTCACCGGTGAGATCCTGCGAATCGCTCAGATGAGTACCGTTTTGACCCGCACGCGGATGGTCAGGCTTAAGCCATGGAAGCTCGTCCGTGGCTGCTGCCAGCAATGTGCCTTTCTAACCCGCCCTAGGCCTGTTAAGTTTGCACCGTTCTGATCCGCCCGCAGTTTGTGAGGCTAGTAGCGTTCTGTCCCGCCCGTGGTTCGTAAGTTTATACCGGTCTGAGCCTCTGAAGTGCGTCAGATGTCTGGTATGGCGCTGTCCGGTCAGATGTTGGCTGTAGGATGTTCAGTGCTCATTGCCTTCATTAGAATCGTTCGGCTTATGTAGTCTGACATCCACGGTCGTGCATATTCGTGGCAGGCTGCATCCATTAGTTTGCAAATTACTGGTTCACATCTACAGTTTCGCGACTTGCAACATTTCAGGCGTTGCGAATCTAGACAGCCTCCGTTCCTCACTTTAGTCAGAGCCACACCGGGTGAGAACTGCGGGGGCTCATTGCACGAGTCTGCCGGCGCGGAGCCATGGTGGAGGCCATGTCCCGGGCGCGTGAAATGGGGCTGGCGGTTCAAGCAGCACGTCCACACACTGATGATTGTTTCAGGGTTTACCGGATGCCGCGGCGCCGGGATGAAACGCCTGGCCGGCTTCGCACCTTGCCTCGGCACGCGCAGACACGAAATGCCGGCAGTGGGCGGCCAGGCGTGTCATCACGGACGCGGGTCGGGTGCGGTGACAGTGCACTCTCTGCCGAGTTCTGCTTCAGACCCCACCCTCAAGAGCCGAGCCCTCGCGCCGGGCCAGGGCTGCCTGCCTCTCCACCGACGCTCCTCAGCCCAGAGCTGCCTGCCTCTCCGCCGACGTTTCTCAGCCCAGAGCTGCCTGCCTCTCCGCCGACTCTTCTCAGCCCAGAGCTGCCTGCCTTTCCACCGACGCTCCTCAGCCCAGAGCTGCCTGCCTCTCCGTCGGGCTCTTCAGCCCAGGGCTGCCTGCCTTTCCACCGACGCTCCTCAGCCCAGAGCTGCCTGCCTTTCCACCGACGCTCCTCAGCCTAGAGTTCCCTGCCTCTCCGTCGGGCTCCTCATCGCAGCGATGGACGTGGTCCAGCACGCCGGCCGAACGCGCGGGGGACGTCCACATGGCTTGTGTCTTGGCCGATGGCATGGTGGCGAAATGCGGCATTCACAAACATGTGTCGACAGTCAAATTGCTTCGTGCTCCTGCTCTTAACGCAGCCGAATGCACTTAAGTGCCCATTAGAAAATTGTTGTCGCTGAATGGTCAAACAAGAGCCAGAAACAAGTTAGTTGGCTATTCGGTTTTAGAGCGTGTCAACTGCAATGGGCGTTTGTACCCAACGGCAAAGTACAGCCGAGTGCGTAACAAACAATACATTTTGTGGGTGTAGCAGAGTTTATGTATCGGGTTCATTCATCACAGTGTGCTGTATTGGACAAAATGTGCGTCTTGCACCACTCACTTTATGTTTTTTGTTCCTGATTTGGGAAATCAAACAAATGCTGTCATGACAGGGAGAATGCAATTTATGGTACCATTGACAAATAAATTGATGCTTGGAAACCATTGATGTGTTTTGTCCGCCGAGATAAGGTTATAGTTGAATGAGCACGTGAGCTTAATACCCCCTATCATTTAATTTCCTCTGGAATGTTGATTGTTCCGTTTTGATTAAAGACCACTGAAAGCTCCACCACAACCAACAGGGACTCCATTACAAACAATGACCGCTCTCACCACCGCCGGCTCGTTCCACACGAGCGGCCCGGCAGCGTCCACGCAGCACGAGAGGGGCCCTTGGACGCGACCGCACCAGACCTCAGCCACGGTGGACTCCCAAGCCCTGCCTCCACCTGTGGTGGGCCTCCGCTCAGCGCCGA